TGGCCAATGGTTGCTGGCTGAGTTGCTAGGCTGAGTGACGTGGTTGCCGCTGATTTAAGACGCCATCGCCCTGGACGTTCTGCAGGCCCCGAGTATTCCGCAGGAGCTGGCACACATGGCGCAGTAGGCTAGCAAGCCCTACTACCAACAAGTTCAGATGGGTAGTTCGGTGCTGGGCATGCCACTTCATCCGCCGAAACCCAGACAGGTTTGCTTGCGTTCCAGCAACAAACGCTGGCATGATGGTGACAAAAGCTCTGACAGTAAATAAACACAGATTGGGGAGGGAGGGGGGGGGGGGGGAATGACCGGGCTGTTATGGACCCGAACATTAAGTAACTGTTCTACCCGTCAAATTTGTTAAATCCCCAGCACATGCACCAGGGACGAACACCCAAGCCCACTCCCTTCCAATGTGGGCTCATACGGCCACAACTTTTTGTTTTAGAACTGAACTGGCATAGATGGAAGCTAAATGCTCAAACACTTGCATGCGCAGTCTTGAATTCAAGGAACCATCCCACCATTTTTCTACTTTTCACTTCTTGTTAAATCAGACGCGTACAACTTTATCAGTAGTGCCAGTTTTCTCAAAGCCCCTCTGAAGAGCTCAGAATTTAGATTTGGGGTAGGCAACCCTGCGGGAGAGATCTCCATTAACCCCATGCTCACTACCAAGAAAGTAATACGCTTAATTTGCCTTGTTCTTCCCAATGTGTGTGTCCCGCAATATTTGCAACGCACTAATGCGTCAAAATGTGTGGGTAATGCATTTTAAGGAAGCTTGCAGCACTCTGTTTAGACAACACGATATGCGAGCATGAACCTATTGTCACTTGAATTCAACGGAGCGTCATACTATGGTTGGGATATCTGCCCCGCGGCGTTTGCCACAGTGACTCTTTTAGAGGCGCACTTTGGCTTTGGAAATAGGAGTATCACATGATCCATGTGACGCACTGGTTCAAACTTCAACCAACCTCATTCTCGGTAACAGACCCTTGCTCGCTGGGCCATTCACAAGCGTTCTTTTGTTTGCACCAGTAGAGGTGCGCACGGCTGTTGACGACGGTGGTCGTGACCGCAGGGCAGAAGCGTGGTGCTGTTACGAAGCATTTACAGCGTAAGTTGGACTCGAAAATGATCCAAATTGATGCCCTTGTTATGTTTTGACTGTACTGCAGTGGCACTATCCAGCGTTATGATTAGACTAACAGCCCTGAGGTTTCACTGGAGTATGTTTTTGACGTATGTCCCAAAGGTGAGATATTCCCTGTAGGCTATCATAGTACCTCCAGACCATTGGGTGGCAAAATGAAGCTTGCAGACCACTAACAAGTGACTTTGAGTGCAACTTAGAGATCATCTAGTCCTACTGCGCTTGCAAAAAATGAAGCTTAGTGGACGCTGATGACATGTTGTGCTGTTGTTGCCCCGATCAACGCAAAAGGTCATCTGGTGTTCGGGTCTCGTCGCTGTCCCCGCCCAGCAAATGTTCTCCCAGACGACTCGCAGTCTGTTATCACACAGCCATCTCTTTTAGGCACTGTGGGTCCCTGATACACCCCCTCATCATTCCAAGGACCCCGACCGACCGATGCAAACGGTATGGTTACATCACGTGTCGATAGCGACAATTTAAGTTATCCATTATAAATATCCTTGAGTCCATAATATATATGAGTTAAGGACAGCGTTTTCCAACCAATGATATAATATTTCAGAGCTATGCTCTTTTGTACCCAGTGTAATTTTTATGTTGTGGTATTTTTTTAGCCGTTCTTACGTTTTGTAGGGCATAACACCTAGGTGATATCAGCATTGAAAGTTACCATTTGCCTGCATAGAGATGCCTCTGACGCCCAAGATAATGGGGTAGAAAGCGATTCGGATATTTCTCATCAGAACAATAGGAAGCTAGCCGTTCACGGGACTTAAAAAGGACAGGTTCACTGACCCGCCGTCCATACTATGATACACAAGTGGCGTGTTTTAGAACTCAGCTCGCTATGAGCCTGAGCAAACCGGTCAATTTCAGCCGATGAAGTCAAAAAATTTTATTGGCATAAATTTATGGTAACTTTCATCGAACTATTAGGAGCAATGTATATAATGTGTTACGGTCTTTTGTTCACAGCTAACTGAACTTTCAGTTAGCTGTGAACAATACACACATCCATGTAATTTTCATCACGTCTGTTGGCCGAGACCATAGCTCGTACTCAAGCGTGAACTGAAAATGGTAGCACTGCCACCTCCCCCCCCCCCTCGGTCGATTGGTAGTCACCCTATCGGGCTGGCACTTTGAGAATCGCTTCATGATATGCAGGCGGTGCATTCGCGTTTCGTGTGCGGCTGCTTTCACGTCTTTATCTGTCCTGGCTGCCGATCTATGACATCAATTCTCAAACACGACCCAAACAGCCATGATGGGCGCTCTGGTTTGCACTACCAGCTTCATATGTCGAACAAACTTCTATGAGGACGATTACTTGTCCATGCTACATCAAATGGCATCGATTTCGCCTCGTTTCTACGCCGGGTGGTTAAATGCTAGCTTAAATTTGATAGCACATTTTTTCCCTGTGCAGCTTTTGGTAATTACCACATTTTATGTCTATCATGTTCATCGACTGGAAAATATCATAATTCGTTCACAACCAAACTGTCCAGCAATATGATTCTTGATGACGCGTGTCGCACAAAAATGCCTTGAGTGTATTCTGCATAGTTCGCAAAGGGTTATTTTGCAAACTTTGCAGTATACAGTTGTCTTTCTTTCTGCAGTGAACTGCATGAAGCTGCGACCGGTGATTTCAAACATATCCGGTTCCGGAAAGCGTGACATCTCGGTCGTTAGTGGCCGGGCTCAACGAAACTTTTGCACCGTTCACGTAAGGCTCTCATGTAATGCAGCATGCAGTGGGTATGGGCGGTTTTGCTCAAGACTGTATCACAAGGTTGATCATTCGATGTTGATCAAGGTTGATCATCACACTAACTGAGTCCACCCAAAAGGTGGACCCAGCAAGTGTGGGGGGAGGGGGAATAATCGTTTCGTTTGAAGCCTTTAAAGGCATCATCGATTAGCGCCGTTAAATCAAATGTTTCCAGGCAATGTGCCATAGTGCTGCTACTGGGTGGCGAAATCCAGCGAGGAGCTGGTGCAGTTCGCAATATTAACCACACAGCAAAGAACAAAAGTGTGTTCAGCGCCACAATACTTCGTAAGAGTTGCGGCACAATGGCCAAGACACGATAAATCGGCCGTGCACACAAACGCTCCCGCAATACCTCTGTGAAGGACGATAGAAGCTTTGAATAAGAAATGGAACTTATTACATGGCGAATGCCATTTCATGAATGCATGTTCTGCAACAATGCTTGGAAGTCGCACTCGCCAAACGTGCTCCAAACCACAGCGGACGCTTCGGTGGCTGTCCGGGTGTTTTTACATTCACTGCTCCGTGGCAATGCGCCAGCGACGTCGTTGAGGGGCTTTCATTTCCACGACTGAGTGCTGTGTGACAGTTCCCCAGCTTGATCTTTATGGCACCATTCTCGGGAACTTTTGCCATGGTCTGATGTTCGACTTGTTTTAAGCAGACTTGTTTAAGTCATTGAGCTGCGCCGCACGTAGGGCATTTGTTTCGTCGTATGCACGTTAGTTTCTTTTTGACAATGCAGATATGACAGTTCAGCACAGCACGGCTATAAAATGATCAGCCTGCCAGCAGTAAAATCACGATCGATTTTACGCGTATTGTATTCAGCCGGCTCAGCCCAGCGGCTATCATCGTATGGTAATCGTAAGCCTTGCATCCGCGCCCAAAGAATTTCCGGCAGAGTCAGTTGGCATGTGACCGCACAATGTTTCTGCACTTGCAGACAAAAAAGAACTCGCGAGGCCAAGGCGCTGTTGTCCAAGGTGTCTTTACCTGTCGCAAACGAGATAAGCGCACCTCTAGCGCTGGGTGATCTGACGCGCAGCTGAGGGGCCGCCGCCGCTGCCGGATTACACGGCTGCGTGGGCCGCCACGATGGCCGGGGCGGCTCGTCCGAAACTGCGTCATAACTCCTGCGGCCGGCCGGACGCCAAGTATCATGAACATCCATCATGCAAGGCTCGGATCGGCAACAAGGATAATTACCCAGATTCGCCAGTAAATCCATCAAAATATGCGCTTATGGTAATGCCCGCCGGCTCGGCTGCGGTTTCTGGTCGCTGGAGGGACGTGGATTTATGACTTATTGGTTGCCATGCCGACAGGAAGATTGGTCGTGCAATGAGGCCGGCCGTGTGCAGACAACATTGAATGCTGCAAGTACCGAACAGCGCGTCTCATGCGAGAAACGTGTTCTGTAATTACGCGTGAACCAGATATCAGGCAATCTTACCGCAATCAGCCCTTCACACTACGAAGTTCTCTCACAAAATCGCCTGTAGGCTACGCAGCACAGCGATGTCCCGGGAAATATGCTGTGATAAGTGAGATCTAAAACTTGGCAAAATGGCTCGATGATAACTCGCTAGGTCCTGATTTACCACTTCCTTTATGTTTCAGGAACGGATGCAAAAGTTTCCGTCCCTGACTGCCCTTCCGTTTTTACAAGGCGTTGGTTTTGGAATACCTCATTGCGCTTCAGTGTTGTACGGTGTTTAGCAGAACATGCGTGCCCAGGAATACATCATGCTTCCTAGTTATCTCTTATCAATGACGAGGGCACCGAATTATCAGCTACTGTTATTACCATCTTGTGAAAGACGGCACCCTCTGAAGTGAACGACGCTCGATCAATACGATTAACGCAGTGTACAGAACAAACTGTCACTTGCCTCCGGCGGCAAACTGAACACGCCCAGCTGCATACCTTTGTGCAAAATCAGTTGTGATTATTACCTTGGAGACGGCTATCTTCTGCACCTATTATCATTCAGATTAATTAATCACCGACGGATGCAAAAGAAAACCGTTTGGCTAACAGCAAGCGACTCAGTGTATTGACGGATACCCGATGCTCCGAACAGCGCCGGTCAGGCGGCCTCAGCCAAGGTCAGCGCTGTTGACAGTCTCCGGTGGCCACGCTACGAACCCTGCTCGGGTCGCGCGGACTCGGCGACCCCGCGGCCGCCAGGCCGGTGGGCCGCGAGCTCCCCCTGCATATCGTCGTCGTGTGACAGATCTGACCGGCGGCAGGACCGCAGCCCGTCCGCCGACCCCGACAGCTGTCAGGCCTGTCATGCGGCGCCGGTCGGCCGGCTGCCGGGCCAACCTGGACACCGGCCGGGGGCCGCGTCTCGCGTGAAGCGCAGGACGCTCGGAGGCCGGGCTGGCAACAGCTATCGGACCGGCGACATACAAAACTGCTCATGACACGGGCGAGTAATGAGGTAAATACGTATCCGCGCGCACGGCTAGACAATGGAGTACCAGCACGGAGGAGCTCCGTGCCCGTCACTTAACCAGCGCACCGGGTGAAAGCACACGCCACAGGCAAAAAATCGCAGCGGAACATTGCATTGTCATCGCTTAAAAGGGCATCTGTTTTAACTGCTCACGTGTGATACATCACGTGAAACAGACGTCAGGTCACAACAACTCCATGCAAAGGTAATCTTAATATAATGGACTAGATTCACGTGATATGCTATCCTACCTCTATCTATGCCTGCAGCGATTTGCAAACAAAACCAGGCATATCTAACAGATGATGCAATGATTATACAAAGAATGACGTGTAATGATAAATGGCACAATGGGCAATTGAACGTCATTTGTCCGACGATTAAGACATGCAGTTGCATAATTCATGTTCCGCGCAATGACACCGCATCACAAGGACAGGAGTTTATCTGCAACCGGTCGCCAACACCACTGAGCCTGCCAAGCCCCGGCGGTACACCTCACGGGAGCCTCCTGATGATCGGCGCGTCACGCCGCAGCCGTCACGGGCTCGGCAGGTCGCTGAAGTCGGAGCAGCTGAAGTCGAGGGCGTCGCTGTCGCTCCTGATGTCGAGCAGCAGGTCCAGGCCACCGGGCAGCTGGAAGTCGGTCAGGTCCTCGATCGTGTCCAGCGGGTCGGGCAGCTCGCTGGAAGCGTCTGTCAGCACGGACGAGGTGGACGGCGAGGGCGAGAACACCTCGTTCGGCGCGTCGCGCTCGACGCCGCCGGCTTCCGGCTCCAGCATCGTGCGCATCGCCTTGATGTAGTCGATGGCAAGCCGCAGCACGGTGATCTTGGTCACCTTGGTCGGGCTGCCGGCAAGCTCTGGCACAGCCCGCTCCAGCGTCTCGAACGCCCGGTTGATGTCGCGCATGCGGTCGCGTTCGCGCGTGTTGGCCGTCTTGCGGCGGTACTTGCTGAGCGCCGGCGGTCGACTCTTCTGCTTGGGTGGGCGCACCTTGGGCTCCAGCTGCCGCGTCTCCGTCTCCAGCCGCTTGAGGATGGAGCGGGCGCGCAGGCTGTACTTGGACTGACCGGCGGCCAGCGGCGGACGGTCATGGCCAGCCCCGCCCAGCTCGATCCTGCAGTCGCTCCGCTCGTCACTGCCCGACCCCATCTGTCCCACGCACACCACCGCGTCCGACTTCGCGTCCCCCGCCGTCATCGCGTCTCACGGCGCCTCACGCGGCACGCTCGCCGTCAAGGGGGCGGCAGGTCGCGTCGCTCGCGACACCACAGCCTGACACCGCTGCTCTCGTCACCGGGTTAGCCGCGGCGCCGGCATCCGTGTCTGGCGCTCTGCTCGCGCGTTCAGCGCGGTGCCGTGTGTGGAGGGCACGGCCGTGCGGTGCGGTACGGTCTGCTCCGAGGTGGCGCACCAACTGGCGGCCTCCGCCGACCGGACCGGCTTATGTCCTGGGTGCCGGAGGCCGGCGTGCTGTCGGCGCGCGCTGGACGCAGCGCTCGCTCGTGTCCGGCGGGCAGCCCGACGCTTACACCAGCCACTCGCTCACGGGGAGGCGTAAGTGAACCCCCGTGCTGTAAGTGGGTCTTCTAAGCTAGCAGCTCGCTCGGCTAAGGTTAGGTTAGTTGGTGACGAAAGCACCGGGTGACATGTGACTGTAAGAACCGTTCATCCCTGTTATCGCGTCATGCCAGCTAGTCCGGAGGTTGATGTGCAGTTTTCACGTTAGCCCGGACAAAATTAGGCGGGATCTGTCAGCGTGTTTATTAGTGCCATCAACTGTGACATCAGCATCCAAGTAACGGGATCGTACCGTGTTCCACACGTAACGAAGTAATAACGCACTATTGTTTATGGAAAGGTGACTTCTGATACCTCCTCATGAATACCCATGAGTCTATGCTATCCGAAATAGAACTGTTCTTAAATAGATGGTTTTCAACAGTTAATGTATATGTCACTAGAAATGCATATGTATATATATATATATATATATATATATATAAAATAAATGATACATGTCACGTGGCATAAAACAAACAATTGGTACATTCATTGGCTGCTATGTGAACACGTGCCAGGTATCTATTTTGTCAAATGAGTGCCTCGAGGCGTCTAACTAACTAACGGTGTAAATTTCCTAATCTTTTCTTTGGCTAACAGCAACGAGGCAACTTTATTGTATGCAGAGCACATTTTGCGCGTAGGGTGTTTTCCTGTGTGTGATAAAGTCGCTTGATATAGCAGGGAAAATGGTTGACTACTGCTGTTTTCACAAAGCTTTCAATTGCTTAAAAATTGCCGCGTTGCAATGCTACACAAATTGTCATGTGGCGGAAGCCACCTATGTCAGTTTTATTTAAAAGGAGCATGGGCTCACGCCAACTCCTTCTAGTTATGCAGGATATATGAGGAAAGTGGTGTGCACCAACAACCAAATTGTTAAGTTGCTTTTAGCTGCAGCCACATGCACCTGCGTCATAGTGCGGCCAGGTCAGCTGCTATTCTGCCCAAATGTTTCAAGCCACGCGCAATCGTGAAAAGAGATACGACATACTTCGTTCCTTGCGCGACTGCAACATCTCTTGAAGCTTGGGCAAGCTTTGAGCCACGAACAGCATATTGCCTGGAACCAAATATAAAGTATTGACATCTGACAGCGCTAAAATTAGGCGAGGTGCTTGTATTGCCTTGTATTGTATTCCATTATTTGTTGGCACATCATTAACACTGGTAGCTATTAACACGCTCGTCGCAATGGTAAATTAAACGATTATGAGGAGGGATAGATAAGGGGAAGGCAGGATGGGGGCTGACAGGATGTAAAAATGGGAAGGCTGGGTACGGGGAAAGCGATCAGTTTGGGACAAGATGGTACAGTCCATGGCTCGTCAGCCACGGTATCCCCCAAGGTCATCATTCAAAGTCGTTTTTCAGGACGCTTGAAAATATCAAACAGTCCTCGGATTGTACGAATGGCCACAATTGTTATTAGTTGGGAGACAAAAATACGTTTCTCACTCCTGACACTAAAAACAGGGCAGTTTGGCTGTGGGCACCACCTTTATTCAATAATATATTGAACTCTCTTCTTTTATGTAACATCTCCAAGAAAAAAATTGAATGACTTGCCTTTTATGTTAAGGTGAAACTGGAAAAAAGAAATGTTGCCAAAAATACAGCATAGTATGAGAGGCCTTGTGCAGACAGCAAACAAAAGCAGAGTTCGTTCCCAACTTTACGCTGCTCGGTGCCCGTCCGAATGTCAGTATGTGCGGACGCAGTGCGCACCGGACTAAGAGATATAAGTGTGCCACCGTTTTGTGTCCAGATCCTGTTTGCTGCAACGGTGGGTTGGAAATCGGGCTGACCGCTTGTCGCGCTGAACCGAAGCAATTCTATCAACTAATGCAAGTTGTGCACAAAGCAACTACTCTTTCAAGAGAAGCTAAAACACTCCATTCAGATCCGAAGGCAACCAATTAATGTCAAGGGTATAGTGTCGCTACAAGCAGAAAGCCGGCATAAACATTGCCAGGACCGTTAACAACCATATGGTTTTTGCGCTTTAACACAGGATTATGAAAACGAGCCGTGAGAATCCTAGTTGCGACACGGGTACTAATGCCACAATACCGATAAAAGGCTCGACTTTGCACGCTGTGGATACAACACGTTCCAAGGGCAGACAGTCGTTACTACGTTTTAAACGCTGCAAAAATGTTCCGGACAAGGTCCTCAACCGAGCATGCGCGCGACGTCCGCCAAGTGCGCCATGCATTGTCAACCAGCATTCCATTCGCACGTGCATCGCTTAACCCCGCCGCCAGAGTTCCGTTTCGCCATGCGGCGCCATTAGTCGCGCCGGGTTGTTTCAACATCCGAGCTCGCCTGGGTGACTGCAACGCGTGGATGGCGTTCGCCAGATAACACCGGCTGATTTGCTGACCAAACAGGCGGGCTTGGAGACAGCTCGCTATCCAAACGGAGCCTGGCGCCAGCGCAAACGCTCGGCGTCATGTCATTGTTTAAGATAGCCTCGGCTCGCGCGCGCCGGTGCACCTGCACCGCTTGAGGGTCATCGACGTGAGCCTTCGGCGGGCCAGGGTCGCCTTAGCGCAGGACGGGCGGACAGGTACCGCTCTGGCTCACCCCAACCCTGAGGGGGCCGGTGGAGAACGTCACGCGCTCGAGTAGAAAACCTGTTTGCGTTTATTCACTTTCTTTACAAAATGCATCCTTGACTACTCTGAGATGACCATACTTTAGTCCCAGGACATCGCTTGTGCCATCCTTTTCAAAAATACTCCATGCACCGACATTATGACATTCAATTCGCAACCACATAACTCGTTCAGAACCACCTTACTCAAGCATTGCTATATGCATTGCAGAAAGTTCGTCGTGAGAGTTTTTTTCACAAGTCTTACTTAACATACCTTCGCGGACGGAACATCCACGGTTTATGTTAAACGTCGCATAGTTACGAGTCCAAAGCCCAGTTAGCATGCATGCTACCACTTCATAATCTCAGTATTGTCAGACATTCCGGTGATGCTTTGAAAATAAGCTATACGCTTGAGATAAATCTTAAACTAATAGTACTTAGCATGGCTACATCAACAGAATGAGCAGTAATGCCAAAAGGCATTCGCATCACTTCATTTCATAGCCCATTTCAAAACAACGAAGGATGCTCCTGGCAGACGCATTCAAGAAAATGACTTATTGCTTGTGAGTTCACGTCCAGCGCCTGCTGGTAACTGTCCCTACTATCCGACTTCTACACCGTGTAAGCAGGTACAGCAGGACTCGAAGGCTGTGGGGCTTGGCCGATAAAGAGCCAGAGAGTGGCGTGTAAAGCCGCCGTGGTTGTTCCGCCGGTGTGTCGTGACAATAAGGCGCTCAGCGGCACGAAATTAGTAACCTTCCCGTGGCTTTGGCTATGGCTACTTCTTGGGGATGTGGCTAGAGTTCTGTGCCGCCCCCCCCCCCCCCCCGAGCTAGTTTCATCGACCATGAATTCTGTTTGCGGTGAGGTGCAAAGCTTTGGGGAATCAAAAACCGTGCAGAGTTTAAATGTGAGGTGTAAGGCACGCGCTTCCTTCGAATATCCAGGGATCTCATCGGGCATGAAATTGTGCGAATACCACATCGCAGTGTGTTATTCCACCCGCAGTGCACCGCCGGGAAATAATAGAAAAAGGAAAGGAACCTCCAATGCAGCCTACGGACGCATTATTTCTACAGCAGAATGCGTCTGGGTAATGAATGCTATAACATCTGCTAATCGCCCTACAGCACCATAGGCCATAGGCCGTGGACATTGGTGGAGCATCGACACTCGCATCAGTCGATGCTATCAGCCGGATCTCTTTCATAAAAGTTACATCGCACATAAAACTGGCCGGCATGTACCGTTTCCACCTTTTTAAAGTAGCCAACAGATACTTCATGCACGCTACCAGCAGTTCAGACGTATTTCCCGCATTTTAGGTCAACACAACCGTATTGTTTCACTCCATAAGGATGCTCTGGTGCCATCCTCGCCCCATCGTATTTAGTGACCCTTGCGCGTGTCCCCGGAAAACGTGGCGAGTTGTTTGCACCCATACATGACACAAGTAGTCTGTCTGATCAAGGTGTCTGATAACCATGCACAAACTGTCGACTTTCCAGGAAGTGACCAACTACTGTCAACATGTTTCGGCGACCTGCGAAATACTTGACAGCGGAGACATGAGCACACCTGTTTATCTTCGAGACAACAATAGTAGATTATAGAGTTTGCTCTTGCCAAAAGTTGGTTCTAGTGTTACTTCAATAAAAAGTGCAACAACTTGTCTTTCTTGAAAGAGACCTTCCATTTTCAAGAGATCCTGAAACGCCGAGATACTATCACGTGACTATTTGTTTTTCGACAGTGACGCCTTGGAAAAATACATTGGCATCACCGGAGTGGCTCTACTGCGCAGTACCCTGTCATGAAGCCCATCCAGGGAGAATGTGTTAGAACTATTACAACGCAAAAAATCCTGATGAGAGACAACACACTCCAGCAGTCAGAATGGTATGTCTTAACACTCCGTGCGTATATCTCGAAGACGGCTTTTGCGTTCCAATCCATTCAACAGCATCGGACAGTTTGCCACCCCGCCTAACGGGAACTGTAAACAATACTGATAGCAATTGCCCATTAACGATGGCCACTGGACCCGTGTGTGAATTCCTAGATAATTAGAAATATTTGTTCAGGGCTGATTGGCATCAGTTACCGTTGAGGGTGTTGCCCTCCAAAATCGCTAAAAGTCGCAAAACCCAGTTCCTCTGAGACTACTTGTGTGTGTGTGTGTGTGTGTGTGTGTGTGTGTGTGTGTGTGTGTGTGTGTGTGTGTGTGT